AGTAGGGAGAAAATCCGTATGATATTCTTTGAGAAAGATTGCACTGTACTCCCTTAGAATTGTAAAATCTTGTTGCCATAACATTACGTAGTCTCGTATGATTTTTGTAGCAAAATTTCACATTGCTAACATATCAATTCTTATATGAACTTGATAAAGCCTCACGTTACTATAGAAAAATTTGAGCTAATCACGTTCTCAATATCATGAAACAAACTTGGCACCAATGAAGTCGTACATATTAAATGGATAGATCTCATATTTTCAAGACTTACATGCTAAATGGATAGGTGACTCACCTTTTTAAGAATGTCAAATCTCTTTAAATGTTGCTACCACATTCTTAAGGTTAAGAGATGACAATTTGGTGCCAAGTTTCCATAAACCCACGTGAATTTATCCCCTAGCAATTGTCCAAAATCTTCACTTATATAATCATCCACAAAATCCAATTTACAAATTAGTCTCCCACTTAAAAATTCATAATTACGCAATCATCCACATAATTAAGAATTATTTCAAATTAAAATACTACTCATTTTTAGCACGCCTTATATACTTTACTATCATAGTCATGTGGTACCTTGTATGGCACTGGTCCATAAACACGATGTATTATAGCCTAGACCGTATTTTATCCTAAAATATCAAACTTCGATTAAACACATTTTCTTCGATTTGCTTACCCTCTCACCTCATAGGCAGCTCAAGGGTAAGGCAACACAAGCAATGGCTTAGGACCCCCAAATTTTGGGGGTCCCACTTTCCCTTGGTAGTAATTTTAATTTTTTATATATAAAAATTGAGTATCTTAATGTTAAAAAGTAAATAACTTAATACAAAAAGGAAAAGAAAATTTTAATTTGTGACTAGCGCTGATAGTTGAGATTTTAATAATTTAAAGGGTATAAGATATCTTTGATTTTTTTATTTAGTGGGTAAAATTTGATTTTTTATTTAAAGGGTATAAAGATATCTTTTATTTTTGACAAGAGTGGGTTGCTTTAGTGGTGAGCACCTCCCAAGAGCAAGGTGGGGAGTTCTTGGAGGGTGGAAGACGACGTTAAAGGAAATATTACAAGTAGGAGATAATACTCTGATCCGTATACCCAATAAGATAACAAGAATTATTTTTTTTAAATACCTATCCTATAACAATTTTGCATTAGGATCAATAATGTATTAGGAGAATCTAAATGGATCGGATTACCTATATTATCATTTTAAAAAGTTAAAAAAATAGATTTCAAACAAAAATATACAAATTTATTTTGTTAACAAATTAGGGTCCCTCCTCGAGATTTTGCTTTAGGCCACCAACAATGTTGGGCCACCCCTGTCACCTTCACATATTTACTCATCACTTGTTTGAAATAGTATAATGCTTATAATCTCAAAATAATCTCATTCCCGAACTTACATCGATTAACTTATGACGAAACTTCAACATACGAAAAAAAAGGGGGGGATGTAACATCTCATTTCCGAGCTTTCATTAATTTACTCATGGCGTACTTTCACGTACGGAAACATGGGGTGTAACACGTTACGCATTCATCAATGATTCTTTTATTATCATTTAAGAGGAGCTTGATCCTAAGATCTAGTTTCCCTAGGTAAAGCTATAAATAGCAGGCTAAGCAACCATTGTAAGGACACGAAACTTTCTGCGTACAAAAGCTTTATTTTATTACTTTTCCTCTTAATTAAACAATTTTATTTGCATTTTATCGTTACTTTCACTTTTATCTTCGGAGGCATTGCGTTCGAAGCCAGGCTTGTCATCTTTTTCATTTCTAACTGCTAGTCTCAATTTTAATCATATTTCTTTATCGCTTTTGGATTAAATCAATTTGTTGGTTTATAAACCACGTAATAAATTTAATATACCATTTTACGGGTAAACGTCTTAATTGTTTGTATGATAAAAAAACAAATATAACCGCACTAGGCTTACTTTAGATTGTTTTCATTTTTGGATTTTATTTTTAAGTAAACAATGCTGGGGTACAAAAAAAAAAAATGAGTTGCTTCTGGAGAGAATAAAGTTGTACTGATAGATTGTTATCTACCCTTCCATGTCATTTGACCGATGTGCTAAAAGATCGCCAAACACAATAAGGAGAACAAATGCTGAGAGAACTGGCATCAATTCTATGATCAGATCCAGTAAATGAGATTATCTAACTTCCTAAAACTACTTTTTTCTCCGTCATGCCCTAAGAAAATGTTCCCCTCTTACAATTCCGCTCTACATCAGTTTTTGAGTCACCAAAAAAAATCGGAAGAAGTTCAAAAATAGCCAGATTTACAAGTGGTTATTCAAAAATAGTCATAATTTCAAAAGTAACTGTAATTTAGTCACTTTTCATGTAAAGATAAATCTGAACGAAAATAATGTTCAAAATCCGAAAAGAACTCCAGCATAGAGCCTATAAAGTATACCGGTCCAGCATAATATGCTGAAAGTTCATACGTAGGTGCACCGAACTCCAATATATTATGCTGGATCGGTCTTTATTGCAGCAAAATAGTGGTTATTTTTCAATAACTTGACAAACGCTAGCTATTTTTGAATGATCAGTTCGAAAACTGGCTAGTCCATGCTATTTTCAATCAACAAAGATAACCTCACAAAAATAAATTGATGACCGCTTTACCAGGGTAACAAAAAACAAAATTACATCTATGGTACATTACCAGTGACGGGCTTTGCATTGTTATCTTAATTAAGCATTATATCTTGGCTTTCTACCTGTCTCTTTTTCTTCCTCCAGCATCCATTACAGCTAACCAATTAAACTACACCAAATAAAGAGAAGCAAATCACATAAAACACTCACAAGGGAAANTATATATAAGAGAAGCGTTTAATCCTACACAGAACTATTATTCCTAAGACAAAGCAGCTAAGTATAGCAAAGTCAACCTTCACTTCTACAACTTCAACATCAGAACCCTCCATTGAAATCTCAGTTAACAGCTTGCCATGTATCCAATGGATTAGTGATGTTTCATACGGAAAGATCTAGATTCTTGCAAAAGTAAGACAAACCACCGCAAGTTTCGTATGCTTTATCACTCATGTAGTAAATAAATAATGCAATAAGTGAATCTCTTCATGAAACTAATTTCTAGAGTTCCTTCTCGAACAACACTAGAAAGAATTCGTTGGGTTTGTTGTTGTTGTCGTCGTCTTCTCGAACAACAGATTTTACTGAGCTGAATCTCTAACTCTGTCCCCAGACCTGTAGCACTGAGACCTAAACCGGAGTTCGTATCTCGTTACAGTTCCATCTAGCTAAGGACAGAGAGGATCTGTGAATCCTTCCTTCCTGCATATCTGGTTTCACTTTCAGCTAGTTAATGACAGAGCAGAACTTTGGGATCATTGTGACAGCAAGTTAAGTGATAGGCTATAATTATGTATTTTAGTCGATTATTACATTCCAATTTACTGCACTTCAGTTGAGTTTGCGTTTAATCGCTAGTGTTTTGCACTAATTGTGTATTTTATATGTCTTGTAGGAGTGATTCCGAGCTATGTAGATGTTATGGAATGAATTCAAATGATTTGGAGCTTTGAAGTCTGAGTAAAAGCCTAAGTAATTAAGCCGGGATCGTGTTCGGGATCAACGGATGATGGTTAAGAACGAACGAAGAATCGAGTAGGCATATTGCGCACTGTCTAGTAAAATGCACATAACTTTTCGCTAAAAACTCCATTTATGCTCCACAATATATGGTTCGAAAGCTAATTCAAAGAGCTACAACTTTTATGTTTTAGGTTTTTCCAAATTCCAAACGGTCCGCGGTCGAATCTGCGGCCGCGGACAGAACACTAAGCAAAATCCGTAGTCAGGTCCGCGGTTGAATCCGCGGCCGCGGACGTCCTGTCCGGGAAAAGTGTCCTTTTTTGCGTAGGAGAAGGTGTAATTGTTTGGGCCCAATCCTACTTGGTATATATACATGAAAAAACAGTATTTTGAGTACCTTTGACATACCTTTGACATACTTTTGACATAATTTAGACCTAAGGAGGCTAAGGAGGCCGGAGATTCGACCTAAGGAGGCAAGAACACACTAGGAGCAAGGCGGGGAATTCCTCTACGAGTTTTTCACTTCTTTCTTCCTATTTCCGTTATTGGTTATGAATTCTAGTATTCTAGTTTTACATACTATTATGAATAGCTAATTTGTTGTCTAGGGTTTTGATGGAGCCTATTGGAGGATTATTTTCCTATTACGTTAATATAGATTTGCCTTAGTATTTTCTCTATTTATTCAACTACGTTATTATTGTGGTTGGTTGAAGAGCTCTCAATCGACATTTAGTGTGTATTACTTGGGAGAGAGTGCATATTTAGGTAGTTGTTGAACAACATCACTCCTAACGTATATAAAGGATCAATACGGAGGGTCTAAAGGTAGGACTACGGATAACGAAACCTTGGGTGTGATCCGAGTCAGCCGTACTTAATGCCAGCTAGCGTAATTCGGGAGAATATGTCTAGTAAATTGTGATAGTTACTCGGGAGAGAATTACGACACTCAAAGCACTCATGATCAGTAGAGAAGACTTAGGCAAATTTATAGAATACGTAGCGGAAAGGATTTAATAGGGGAAATCATAACTCTAGACCTCCTTAATCTTGTCTCTAACCCTTAGTATCTTTAGTTGTTAATTTACTATTTTAATTGTTTAGTTAATTAGTTAAACACAAGAATCTTAATATCTATAAGTTAGGAATTATTCAAGTTTGTCTTCTTGGTGATAGTGAACAGCTATAGCTAAGCCTTAGTTCTCTGTGAGATTTGACTCCGAACTTGTAAACCGGATTATATTTGCAATGACCGCTTAGTCCTTTTTATAAGGCATAATTGGGCATAATCATTAAGTATCAGCATTGGACTGTCAAACACTACTGTACTAATTAAGCACTTATTAACTTTAATTGTTACATTTGCTGGTATGATTCCTTCACCATCTTGAAGCTAACTTATGGTTCAAGAATAGCTACAAAATACAGCAGGGAGAAATGTGCAAGCCCAGTAGCTGGACATGGCTTCTCATTCCTGCTAGTTTGAAGGAGAAGGCAATACCTTAGGTCAAGCAAAGAAAACGTCGAGCAGTGTAGAGGGGAAAAAGAAAAGAAAAAGGAAGCAGCAGCAAAACAATTATCGCAAATATAGAAAGGATTAAGTTGCAGAAGTGGAGCAGAAAACAATAGAAGAAGGGGGGAATACCATTCAGTTTTCATAGAAACCCACCTTTCACAATGGATCAAGACAACACAATCAATCAAAACATAGCATCATTCATATATTTGCTCAAGAAACTGGATACAGTGTAACACTTACAAGTAGTACAACATAGTTGAATGATCACCTGAAGGCGAATGATAATAAGCTGGAAATAATTACTCACTTGGCAAAATGACTCATTGAAATTTATCAGACTTCAGACTAGCCGTTCTGATCAATTGGAAAAATTCGATGAAAATAGATTGTTCTAGCAGAGTTTTTCCTGTACCCAAAATTGAACTGCTCTGTTCTTAGTTACGGTTCTTGCTTAATGAGGAGTTCCTTCTTTGATCTTGGATAAGGAATTAAAGACACACTTAGACCACATGAACTTCTGATACACACCTAGACTAAAAATAAGCTAACAGTTTACTAGAATTAGAACAGAGAATTTACAAAATTAGAATAGACATAAATTAACTTAAACACAGCTCCTGAGGCACGGAGAAGTTTTGCTGATCGTCGTGAACCCATAACCTCACTATAGACCTCCAACAGCTACTCTCTATCAGCTACTAGCTTCTGCATCACGTAGGGATGTAGAAATATCAGGTTACACCTTAAAAAAAGGTAAGAAGTAAGGCCTAGAATATGAGAACCCAATTTGTGCTTGCACATTCTACTTTCTAATTACCACAATATCTGACCAATAATCAGAAAAATGTGCAGAAGAAGAACAACTACTACGTCTCAGTCCAAGCAAGATGGGGAATCAAAAGATTGTGTCACGTGTCTAAAGAAAACTTTTAAACCTGTATCATTACTCGTATTACCACGATATAATATGCCAGAAAGTCCACTTTAGGATCAAAGAAATACATTAAGATCTGATACTACCTGGACAAAAAACTAATTGTTCAGACAAGCTTCTTTCCTTCTTTTTCCATCTTACATTTCTGTCTAAAGCAAAAGAAATACATAGAAGGGATAATTGTGCTTTTATTGTGGCAAATTCTAATTTTGATTTCTGGCATACTTGACACTTGAAACATTTAGATCCTTTTATTAATAATACCGTCAGCTATTGGTCCCCTCCATTACCAAATTTCTGCAAATGAAAAAGATATTATCATAAAAAAAAAAAGGTACCAAAAATTCTCCAAGGCATAAAATGAGTAATCTCACGATTTAATAATTTAAAAACACTGAATCTTGAAACATTTATCTGTAGTAGGACTAATAATTGAGGGACCATAACTGCAACCTTGCACCACAGGAACTTTTAGATACTATACATAAATTTAAACTAAAAATTTTTGGGAACAAATTCAAAATCTAGAACAGTAAGAAAAAGTTAAGAGAAGAATGATTGTACATCCTACCTCCTTGCACTTCTGCTGAATGAAATGAACAGGTTGGGGTCAGCCCAAACCTCTCCCACCAACACTTGGTAGCTTTGACCCCAAAAAAAAAAAGGAAAGAGATTGTACAGAGGAAGTGAATTGTGCAAAGCTCTAACGCTATTGAACCCTAATATCTCCATCACACACCCAAGTTAATAGCAGAGATAAGACTGTCAGATACTGAAACAGCCAGCAGAGATTGAATTGAATTGCAATGGCACAGCTCCAGCACCTTAATATTCATATCATACTGAGCAGGAAAGTAAGCTCGAGTAAGAGCTCCTAACAGGAAAGAGGAGATAGAAGAAGACAACATGGGTTGGTTTTTTTTTTTTTTTT